TTACTATTGTAATCTTCGTTAAAAGACTGGGATGTTAAAAAAGAAAGATTGAAAATAAATTGATTTCAACTACGTAAAATTGATAAATTCTCACATATAAATACTGTCGACTCAGAAGTCAACTATTGTTTATTACTTAGCAAAGTTTTAATCAAAATAAGTAAACGTTCGTATACAATTTATATAGCTACTACAAAGGTAATTAAATTATATGAATAAAATGCCTGTAATCACCTATTTTATTTACAATAAGTATTCTAATTCTTTCCACATACATGTATATTAAACCAATGTTTTGTACATTAAAATGGTGGAAACTATGATAAAACTAGCAACTGCTTAGGACTAAAAGAGATGTAACCTATATGAATGATATCTTGTTCAAAACTCTTAAAAATATTGTAAAAATAACTATTTTCGAAATGTGGATTTAGTGTACATATGAACATACTGCTCTTAACATACATTAAGTTTTCCTATTTAGGATTAGAATCCTTAATTAAACAGAATATCAATACACTAACAAATGATTTAATTTATTATTCGTAGCAATGTGTTATCTGTATGAACACAAACGACTTATTAATGATGATAATATATGATTTGCTTTTTCAGAGCTATATCTGCTTTGAAAGGGTTTAAAGGAATGGATCTTTATACAATGAATCGAACTCAATTAGAACAACATGTTGGACCAGAGAGATGTGATGAACTATTTTATGCATTCCGAGGCACTTAATTCAATTTCAGTAATAATTAAATTAATAATTATGTAAGTATTGGTTGCTCTAAAGTTAATTCGCTTATTAAAAAAGAATTCATTCAATGTTAATTGTATATATCTTTCTTTCATAAATCAACTATGTGTGTGAAAATAAAAAATCCGTGATGAAAAGCAAAACAATCAATGAATTCGATCGGTGTTTACAGAAAAATTTAATTCAACATAAATTTTCGAGAAATTTAATTGTTATATAGTTGAATTCATGAGTCAATTAAAGCTAGACAACCATGGAAAGCCTGGATGGCTGTTACTTCCTATTATGAGACTCCTCAGCAGAGCGCATCCAAGATACTGCTTCGCGAGATTCGAATCCAGGACCTATCAGTTTCGCGCGCCAGCGCTTAACCTCTAAACCACTGAGCCAGCATCCAATGGTGTTAATGTCTAACTTTAACCGACCCACGAAATTGAGCAACACATCCGCCATTGTCTTCAATGAGTTACTATCTCACAACAGACCCGGTTGAACTCCACTGGTCACTGCCTCTCACTAGAACTCCATGAAATACCTCTTGAAGTCAGTCACTAGTGAACATACGATGATTATCATCAGTTCTAGTTAGAAGTAATTGGTTGAAATCATGAGTCAACTAAAGCTAGACCACCATGGAAGCACTGGATGGCCGTTTCGTTCTATTGTGGGGCTCCTCAGCAGTGCGCATTTACGATCATGCCTCGCGAAACCGAAAGGTCCTGGATTCGAGTCTAGCGAGGTGGGATTGTGGATGCGCACTGCTAGGGAGTCCCACAATAGGACAAAACGGTCGTCCAGTGCTCCCAGGTTTTCCATGGTGGTCTAGCTTTGACTCATGAATTCAACTATAAAACTACTAAAATCTCCACAAAACCTCTTCCGATAAATTTTGTTGTTCATAAAATCACTAATTTTAATAATTTGTTTCATTAGATTAATGAATGTTGATAGGTCTGTAAGTGAACAAAACTTTACTAGTAAGTTGATGTCAGTAGAAAGACTACTCAAAAAGGTCTAAAGATAGATATATAGTTGTTTTGGTCTTGAATAAAATATATCACTATTGATCAGTTAAATTTTACCTCAGAAAATCTACAGGTCTGACAGGATTGAATGGCGAAAATAAGGGAATTATTGACTACTTATGTCTTTAATGATAACAAACTCCTATCATTAAACGGTGTAATCTTATTAATCTATAACTACCAGTAGTGCATAGAAATTCGTTTGGTTAATAATACTAACCGTAATCCACCACGAAATAATATACAATAAGAACCGAAATGGCACCCGGTAGTATAGTGTGGCGTATATGTATTCGATGCCCCCCTTGTACCAATTTTTATGTGTTCAAATAAATAATAAATACATAAATACAATAAAAACCGAAAGGGTGGATTATTTAACCGTATTATAAAATCAAAATTATTCCCAAAAGTCTCTTATTGGCATAAATGCATAACTGTGCGTATTGCCTTGATATAGACTTAATTCACATGCTTTATAAGCAAAGATGGATAGTGAGTAGCAGTAGAAGAAACGCGCGCCCTGGATTCCATTGCTACCCACTATCCATCTTTGCTTATAAAGCATGTGAATTAAGGCTATATCGAGGCAATACGCACAGTATGCACATATGCTAATAAGAGACTAATCAATTGCAGTCCTAAACATCAGTATGAAGATTCAACCAAACAATACCAAGTGAGTTTAAACGTCAAGGATACTGTTTCTGAATTTAACAACCGACTTATTCAGTTGTGCCACCAATGCAAATAACGCTATAGGAAGTGTTCATACGGAGGTGAATCCAGGTGGCATCTTTGTAAGAATTAGCAAGATCTGTCGACTTTTTATTTATTGTATATACTTTGTTTTAACATTTCAACCAACCTGACATCTAGAAACTATATACTATCATTTTATTCTTCATATAAATTGAATGTTATTGGTCGGTGAAAGAATATCGCTCAATTTATCAAGTGTATTATTCATATCTTTTTTTGTAAATACTATGAAGGCATAATCTATGCAGCACCATTAAAACTGTAGTTGGTTGTTTGCTTCTTTAAACGATCCATTATCAAGTTACGCCAGATAAATGTGCTGGAAGTGGACTCAGTGGTAACCTTATAGCCACAATATCTCAGTGTATCATGGTGGTATGTTGTCTAAGCTATACGGGTTTAACTGAAGAACTTCCATTGCCATTCGCGGAATCTCGATAAACCATCAGAGAACCAACATCAAAAACAGCTATCAGGATCCTGAAGCCCTTTCGAATAAACACAACCACTTTATCCCACTAATTCTAACCAAACCAAGAGGTACAACGGCACAGGAAGACAAGTACAGTATTATATACAATAGAAATAACTAAACTACTAGAAATATCACATCCAACAAATTGAACGCCCTCTTTATATATGCACAAATTAACAAGGATTATCGGCGAGGCGACTGATATTAATGAACGTAGACAATTATGGAAATGAATTTGGTTGGAGAAAAGTCAGAATTCTGGATCGGGGAAACTCCGAGAATCCCAGATAACTCCTGGAAGCATACTATTCAGACCAATTAGCAATCAACAGACGCACTGACATAGGTCCAATCTGTAAACCCTTACAGAAGAGGTCAAGTAGTTTCAAGGTCAGACAAAGGTCAAGTGACGAAGTCACTCAAGGTGAATGCAAGAACAAACGGGGACAGTCAATCTCAAATAAGGTTATCGGGACGAACTAGGAAGCTTACTTGTACATGAAACAGGCGGCGAAGATGTTATCCAAGATATTAATGAAGGCAATTAAACCATCAAGCTCAGAAAACACAATATCACCAAAGGCATCCACTTGAGCTGCAAATCCCTTCTATTATTCCACAGCCTGTAATATTCACTGTTGAATTAGATGGACATATCCATTATTCGCCTAAGGATTGACTTATGATGTAGATACAGGAATCATGACTTGTTTGTCACCCAATAAGCTTAGTGTAGTTACGGGAAGTTGGTAAATAAAAATGACACGACTGACGATACCATTAATTTATTCGTAACTATTAAACTTACTACCCGAAAATTTGGGGTTTTTCTGAAGTGGCCTTAAGAGTTTTATCAGGCATTCTCTCTGTCACATAATGAATGGAATCGGTTGTATCCAAAACAAATTGGAGTGGTAACCATTTTCAGATATTTTAGTAAACCATACAATATGGTTGTTATTGTACCCGTAGACCTCAACGTTTCGTTCAAATTTAGTCTTTTTCAACAACTCCGCGAGATGCTTCTAATCTTATATGTCACATTATTATTGACCAACAATTTGTCTTATTTTGACTATACTAAAACCACATATCTTTTCGGCATAATCGTCCCCACCCAAGATAACTATGCCTAGACCTTTACTAGGTGATAGTGGAATGGTGACTCAGCGCTTAATGCGTCCAAATTTTAGTCGCTTAACCCCAAGTTCAAACCCTACTCGGGTTTGAGTAACCGGGTAGTGCCAATATCTCTCGTACCTAATGTGGTCGATACTTAAGATCTATTAAGTTTAATGTCTAATACTTGTTGACATTTTTTGTACTACCGAGTTTTCAAACCCTTTGATAGACTGGGAGCACGTATAATTAACCTAAAACATTCTAATACTAACTAGTTTATTTCTACTACTTTTATTTACTTTTTGCAGGTAAACTGTTCATATCAGAAGCTTAGCAAAATCTTCAAAATCCAGTCGTTTTTAAAATCCTTTTCTGCTTTTACAACCATGCTGATTAGTGATCATTAGTTTGAGTTAATATAAGTGATCTCTAACAGCATTTCGGAAAATTTAGAAACCAATCTTTATTAACAATATTATTTTCCATGAATCAATGCCGAATGGAGTACTAAAATACAGTTCGTTTTCGAAAATATGTAACCTACTTATACTCCCGTTCTTATGTATTGATATTTCTAATGCTATATTTGTGAATGAAGGTTGCTTTTCAAACAATAATTTCCCCCGTTTTATTACATTTGGTTTACATTTTTATATATATAGAACAGCACAACTGCAATATAATTACATTTTGTTTATGTAATCAGAATATCTTAAGTTTACTGTCAAAAAATGATCACGTTACTTTTATACATTTTATTGATTATTTTGTCAAAATTATAAGTTTTATTTCCACAAGGATTTAAGAACGTCTGGTGTGAAAAACCGTGAAAAAGCCTCGGATTCGTTGGGAAATGAATCATTTCATTTTCGGAGTATTTAATCCATATTTTGCCTTCAACCGATCTAATTCTTCTTTCTTTTTATCTACATCAGTTTTCTTGAATTGCTGCAAAGGGAAGGGAAAGCCATTAAGAACAACCTAAAAATCGTATGCACATACGTATAGTTAGGGTAAAAAAGAACCTGATATTTATACACGATCCCAGAGACTACAGGTTTTGATTGAAACAGTCTAGGTCAACCTAGTTAACAAGCATAGATTCGTTTACTATGTCAAACACATCAACCAAGTGAAACTTGTTAAATAGGTCACAGTAATATAAGCATCAAAAAGCTGTCTAGCTCGTTCAACGTGTTTCGTCGTAACTATATGGTGCTTATACCGGACAGAAAATCCGACATGCCCCTATACTTATTATCAAAAAGATCTGAACTAAAGGATGTTCTAACATCGACTGGATTATAGGTGTTGCATTTACATTCTACCATATTACTAATGTTTTATAGCTGTATAAATTTTATAGACAAATAATTTTCGTTAACGTCATCATATGGAAATATGCGAATCAATATAAAGCATGATGACGACACAATAAAACAATGCAGAATACCTTGTTTCTCTGGTAGTACAGAACTACGAGATACCGGTTACAAACGTTAAAGCCACTGAGGTGATCACAAGCGTTCTTAGCGTCGAAAATGTCTTCATAGATAACCAGAGCAGTTCCTTTCGTTTCAGGAGTGTTGCCGATGCGAATTTGACGGATAGCACCATACTTGCCGAAAATATCATACATTTCTTCCGCTGATATGTTATAGGGCAGATTTTTCACCAACAAGATTCTATTTACCTCTGGAGGAAGACGAGTCTAACGATGAAATTCAAAAAAGGCATTGCTGAATTTAGAAAAAACTATTTTGATTCAAATACCATAGATAAGGTTTCCCTCACTTTAATATGGATGTCGAAATCTCCCAAAACGAAAACCACTACTAAATTAGCATTGAAAAAATTGCCAACTTTAGTGATACTGTCTTTTTTGTAGAAAAGATGGGTCGGAGAACTTAGGCCCTAGACAGGCCATACACCAGTGGTTTGCTACAAAAATGTGAGTACAGAAGATCCACCTAGGTGAATTGAAAAATTTGGATTACAAACCAATGGTGTACATGAGTGCAATGATCCTAGGGGAATGGTGTATGAACCTATTATCAGTCATCAAATACCATAGGGTCGCATCTCCTAACGATGCTCCACCACCTTAAGGATTAGACCTCCACATAAATGCTCGCGGAGTTGCTCCATAAGAAAACCATCTGCTTCGATCTGAGCATCAAAGCAGTATACTATCCCGCTCACTAACTAAATTATGACAAGAACTACTCGTGCTTCAATTTTCATTCTCGCAAATCACACAAAACTACTTGTTAATACTCGTTTTTATCTTACATTGTGTCAGTGGTCTATCACTTTCTATTTTGAACATTCCTATATTCAACTCCTATAGCAGATCGTTTATGGTGGAAAATCTGTCCTATCTAAACGATCTCAAGTCACTGACCAGTCGAAAGTTGAACACTACTATTGAATACGAAGTCTGAAACAGCCTTTCCGAAAGCACATGTGCCATTCAAACTGGCCTCCTTCAACGTTCGCACGCTAATGCAGATCAGACAACAGCCAGGGTTGACTATGTCTTTAGAAAGTCTCGAAATGCTATCACACGGCCACGCCTATATAGCCTCTGCCAGGGAAGTCCTACTCACTGCCTTCTTGTGGCGAGGGTATTGTTCACGAAATTGAGAGAACGAAAAGCGAATGCTCGGCTATGATGCAAAAGTGCTATTAAACTATACAGATAAGTGAACTTCATGTCAAAATCTTAGACTAACGATCGTTGATTCTATCGGTTCGCTATATATTATAGTCTCACCTCACGAAACGTTAACGACTGAAGACTAAGACGCGTTAAATACCCTCACTATCTACCCAGTGCATGAGGTGAACTAAATAAAAAGGATACCTAGATTTACTTATAAGACAGTGAATACTGGTGTCAGAATTAAAAAGAAATGCAGTGTTCTCGGATCAAACTTACATTAGGAATCAGTGGTTAAGAAAGCGTGACATCTGAAAAAAACAATATTGGGCTGTATTTGCCAAGGGTTCATGTACTCTGTTCCAGACTTTAATGTTTAAGAGCGGGTTAGTGGAACTTCTCGGGTGCTTGAAGAGAGGTAGATGGAGAGGGATTATATCATCCAGATTAAAGGTTAGACTATGTCTTAACAACTGTTCCGGATGAAAATCAGTCACAATGAAGCAAACAAACCTGTTCTTGTATTTCTCCTGACCGAAACCTTGTCACTGAACACTTTGTTATTCATTATGCACTAAAGTAGTCCATTTGCTGCTTGACTGTACACTTTCTTATCAGATTAGGGTATCTTAATATTATCTCATCTATTAATCTAACGACGACAGTTTTGAAGTTTATATTATCACATAATCTGAGGATACAAGCCATACTAGATGTAATTAACGAATGTTTATATTCGAATCCCTAACTAAACCTACCAGAATAAAGGTTTCATCAAAGCATATCATCACTTTCCGGCAGCAGAGTGAAAGATATTTTAGTAGAAATCAAAGATATAGAGCTGACCCAGTAAACACTAGAAATAAAAAAACAAGCTTACAGCATTCTTGCGTCCTAATGCCATTCTGATGTACCGTCCATGAATGAACTACGCGGCAACCAAATTGTACAGTGTCTTCATAATAGATTAAAATGATTCTAGACGGAACAGAAAACGCTTTTGCTTGACGGACTTCCGTATCTAGTAGCAGTGGATCATCAAAGCCTCCAGGCAAGAACCTAGGTATATTAAACGATGAAAAAGAAAATAATAATAAATAAATAAAATATCTGTAGTGCTCAAAAGTATGTCACGTTTTCTCTTAAAGGACGCTTGTACTATCTCAGTCGGTATCGAATTTCAGAATTTGACTGCCCATAAGGATTAGAAGGTGTGACTACAATCGATCCTGCTATGTTGTCGCCATCTTCTTGGTGTTGCCCCTGAGATTTGTTTTGGTACTGAGGTGAAGTAGGAGTTCAAGAGGGATATCCAGAAGTAATCAGAATGCTGTAAGTCATTAGAAGGTTACCTCTAAAACGCCTATTTTCTGATGGTTACAGGTTCACCTATTAGAGGCGCTCTGTACAAGACTTGAATTTCAGCCCCCGAACCGATTACTTTGCTTGTCATCGGGTACGTTCCACCATATTTGAGGGTATAGAGAGAAGTGCCACAAGCCTGTAGCTTGAAGTTTCTCTGCATCGACCTCCTTTGAAAATTGGTGTGATGTGAACCAGCTTTCAGCTTTCTGGCAACGTGACTCGGCCCAGCGAACGTGGGAATATGAGGCCAAGATGTGTTGACAAGATTGAAGCTGTTTAGATTAGCATAGGAGAACGGACCATGTCCCGGTCAGGTCAAGCGTCCTTGTTTAGGAGCTACAGTTTCCAAAAAACCAAGTCAGAGCTCACGTTCACTGCTATAAGTCCTACTTAGTGATAAGTGAATCTCCCATCAATCTTTGTGATAAGCCAATATATCAATTAATTTCCTTACGTCTGGAAACCTGTTGGGGTCTTTTGTAGCCTTCAATGAAAGTAATTTACCCACTTGAATACACTAGTCCCTTAGGGATTTCAAATTTCTGTACCGAGGACGAAAGGCTCGTGGCCTAAGTCAGTCCTTTCCTAGTTAGCCTCTGAAAGTTTCTAGTCTCTCCTTGAATAGGTCAATTGAAATTCTTCGAGATATACGTGTCATCCTGTTAACATGAGCTTGCAGCCTGGACTCATTTCTTATGTCTGGATCTCAATGAGGTTGTGTATACTGTGATGAATAAACTAGTGTCCAACTTGTTAAGTGTTCGTCTTAAAGTCTACTGGACTCTGAACCCTTTGGCTGCAACCGCATCGCAAATGGCCGTAGTCTCACTGTTACCATGACGTTATTGTGACACCAGAGTACGAGCACTGATTCGCCATCAATGTTGTACCTATTTGCTATTGTGTCCCAAATATTCATGTAGGTACACTTGAGCGAGGACAGGTATTAGTCATTTTTTAGACCAGCTAACCGGAATGACTAGGTTCGGCTGAGGTGCAAATGTGTTTGTGTCTCCTGTTATTTCTTCCCAAATGTTTGCATCATTGAGCGTAAATTATCATCGGGGGCTCGATGATACTCAGGAATTCATTTAAATACAGTATATAAAGAAGAGAACCTAGAACATAATTTTTCTGTACACTACTAAGTACTGGATTCTATGAGGAGCATTTAAAATTCATTTCTTAGTTTCTGTCTGCAACCTTTATTAGCAGTCCAAAAGTTATTAGATTTTTCAACTTCAAGAGGAAGCTATTATTGATGCCTTATCAAATTCTTTGCCGAGGTCTACCTACACAACATTCACTGACTTTCCATTACCTAGAAACTCAGTTCATCCTGCTCTTGCTTGAGGAAGTTTGTTGTGCAAGATAATCTTTTCCTATAACCATGTTGTTTGGTATTGCTGATTTCAACGAAGGTCATCGTTATGTTTTCAATTACTCATTTCAGTATTGTAAAGACGATACTGGTGAGGCTGGCAGGTCTGTAGTTTGGTGAAGGTCATCTTGATCTTATCTACTGGTGCTGAGTGACAATTACATCATCCCGGTCCGTAGATAACTCAATATGACCAAACGAGATCTCGAATGTCGTAGTCAAAGAGGCAACAATGCTTTTCGCAATTTGAGTCAGGATTTTGGGATGTAGTTCATCTGGTCCTGTCGATTTTTCCGTGTCCAAAATGCTAGAGGCCTTTTGTGCGTCGTCTTGATCAAAACGCACAGTAAGTAGTCGGCTTGATGGTTTTGTAATTGGATTTAGCCCTTCATCAAGAAGAGACTCCTATAAGAAGGCCGTTTTAAGTGGTGATTCGTGGCTTCTACATTTGTCCTGATATTCCTCTACCGATTGGGATGCACTATTTTAACTAACTAGGTCGGGGACCAATATTGTGAGCTTGCTCTGTGAATTATGAACGAAAACAATCTCTTCGACCGCTTGATTACGAATTGCGTCGGCTGCTTGTCATATTTTTGCTGAGCTGCCCGGATTGTACTGATACACTTATTTACAATTGCTTTACCACCAGGTATTGGCCAATCCCCAGTGTGTCAGGTCCTTTTTAGTGAATATCGATTTCTATCGATCAAATTTCAATGTGGTCACTTGTCTGGGTGACTCGATATCACATCCATTACGTTTGGACTTAGAGTGTTTGTTGGAGACAGTCGACAGGAATCTATGGACTTAGGTTTCGTGTTGTTTTCCATTCAACAAAATCGAATCCACCAGGGAGCATCAGTTCCCTCAAGATTACAGGTGCAACTTTCTGACGAGTGCAGAATGTTTTGCACAGCCAACGTGTTAGTAGCTTACAACTGGTGTAAGTCTGGTTGTCATACTACTTGTTGCAGTTGTCAAATCGCACTCCATCCTCAACCGGAAAGAAGAACCGGATATAGCAGAGCGATGTTTTGTCCACTTCGCTTGAATTTTTAGTGGATACATGGAGAGAGTAAAGCGAAAAATTTCATTAAACATAGAAAAAGACATTGAAAAATGAGTTTTTTCGAAAAGTTTTGTTTTGAAAACTCTAGAAATCATAGACACTGAACACAAAAGACCATTACTTTTGTCGCTGTTACTAAAAATTCAAATCAACTAGGCATGAAAGCAGCTTTCACGAGTTGAGATACAATAAAAATGATAAGATTAGTGCGGATAACTATGAATATTTCAGGGAATGGTTTGACAGCAGTTGAGTGCCAGGTATAAAGATGACATTATTTGTGAAAATTTTACTTGAAATAACCTCAGCGATTGAAATTTAAAGAATTTCAAATTCTTCAGAGTACTAATTGAAGTCAAAATTATGAAGAAATATCTGACGTTTAACAATCAAGTCAAATATACACTAAATGCTTATTTAATCATATTCAGATGTTGACTTCAGTAAGTAATATAGCATGAGTCAGTAAGATGTGAACCATGTGAAGATTCATGACTGAAAAATAAATGCATTTGTGTGTGTTTGTGTAACTTTATGTTGCTAATAGTTGATATAAGGTTTTAATTTATTTACGAAAATTAGAAATAAAGTGTGAATTGTGAATGAAGACCTTAAAACACACAGTTGTAAAGGTTAAACCTTTTGATTATTTTTTTTGTCAGAATCACGGCTGATGCGAAATAAACAGGTTAGATAGCGATAGATTCCAATTACTCGTTAGTGGTCTTTTGCCAGGAAAACTGACACTCCCCTATTTGAATAGCCCTCTGGGCTTTGTATATTTATCATGTTTTTAGTTCAGTCGCTCTAACCTCATAACGGAAAAGTTGGGGAACTCGCGGCTAGTGCTCTACCACGTACCATTCGAGTGGTAATATCAAAAACTCCAGCGCAGTAACCAGAAAGGGAGTGTAAGTATGATGGCTGTTGGAAAAAACTGAAACGCTATCAATGTAGTGGTGAATTAATTCCGAAAATGAATAGTTCTGTAGGTCTTCAACATTGATGTTGACCCCATTGATTTTGCTGGACACACTTTAGCTGAAGGTGATCGACCAAGCATCCACTTCAGATGACGATTGTGTTCTGCATGCTACGCATCCCTAAAAGCAACTGCTTACCTTAGCGCATGTACTTCTCGATACTTCGATGATCCTCCAAGTATATGTTTTGACGCCTTTATTCCTGCTTCCTGTTTGACTAGGTTTGGGATCCTTGATTAACAAGGTGTTCAGGATAATAGTGTTGTCAAGCACTGAATATTGGCGACATATTTACAAGTATGAGCAGATAAATGTAAATAACGATTGATAAATTTAGGCAGAATGGGATAATAATAATTATTATTAACGTTCCAGATAGGACATGTGTTAACAGAGGGCTTTAGAACAGAGGTATCTGTGATAATTATTCCTCTTGAAACGGGCGCACTTCAAATATTAGCTTTGAATGCATAATTGTCTCAATTGCAGTTTCATGTTACTTGTCTCTCATCTAAGCAACGTACCTTCAGTTTTGATGTAGATTATGGTCAGATCTAAACTCACTGTCATCTCAAAAGTTTCCACCCGTTAGGTTTATACAGCTTTGTCGAAAGAAATTTAACGCAGCTTATAAGCCGAGAATTACTTAAGTATTTCCAAGACTACCTGATACTTCCGTGAGGTGATATGAGTTTTTTAAACAGATTATTCACACTGTAGATGGCATCGGGTCGCGTTTGACTATGATCACCACTACAATAGGATTACGCGCCCAAAAACGACTTGGTTCCCTCGATAACTCGCAAACCAGAAGACTGCAACTGGTCCAGATAGAGTATCTTTACTGGCGATCTCGTGATATCGAAAAAATACCGAGACGTGCCAACGAGTACAGGCAATAAGGGCAGAGCGTAAGAAAGTTCGAATCAAACAAGGCGGATAGCGGAACGAGAAGTGACTTTGATACAGTTAAGCAAGTACAGTAAAACAAGCGCTGGTACAATTGGTTATAGTAATAGTTGTTTCTATTATACCAATCGCGTTCTTGTCGATAAAAGCAGGTCACTACAACACATTGCTAGTTTGTTTTTCCACTGGAAGACTAGTGTAGACAAAATGATCGTAAACCATCAAAAGCGTAACCCTCTTCTCATTATTCAAAGGTTTGATAAAGTTTTACCAACTAGACAATTGTCAACGTTAAAAAATCGAAATTAAGGGTTATCTATTACTGTGAATTATAGAAGTGACTAGACAATAATGAATTTATGATCAGTTCTCGTTAATAACTTTTATTCCCAAACTTCATTCAATTTATACATTTCCCATTATTCATTACAGAATAGTTTGTTTGAATTGTGATTTTCGTCTCCTGAACTAAATACACTTGGTCATTCGGTTCTCATTCACAAGGCACACATACTTTTATTGCCGTTCGTCATTTCTCTTTTCACTACTGTTTATTTACCAGGTCACTAATAACAGTTACTGTGTCTGTTTTCTCCTAGTTAGTATACTGTCAAAACATTTAAATGTACATATTATCCTTGGAAGGAACATATTTTGCACATAAATTTATGGATTGCTAGAACCTTCTCTACACTCAGACTCATAGCGTTCACAAGTAGCCTTATGTAGCTGTAAATTATTCATTCTCATATTATTTTTGACTATTTATATGCGGTCAAACTTTCATTTTCTTGACCAGATTCATATGGTTGTATATTCATATATTTTTTTACCATGGACAGTTCATTTAATATACATTTTCATTGTGGACTTTAAAAAGTCGTTAAATCCCCACTCAGCAATTACTCCATCTAGATGATCCGGCTTAACTTCTTTAAACGTGGTGTCAGGGCTTAGACTATGCATTTACACTATGGTATTTGCCATCACGTGGCTGCTACCAGTCGACCTATGCATGCAAAACCGCGACGCTAACCACTTTGGAAACTAGTCGTAGAGTAACTAGTATCTGAGCACATAATGCAGCTTGCGATCATTTGACAGTACAGTAGTTCTTGGGTCTTTCCCTTACGTATGGTGGCAAAGATAGACCACGAGTAACACCTGTGAGGCATTTCTCGCACCAACCACTGAATATCGACCGAACAAAATTTTATCTATTCCTGGAGTTAAATACCTACTCTAAGTTCGTCGTTGGCTGACTGTGATTGAACGGTTGAACATACATTGAGATTTTGATGCTCTTGAGGATTACATGGAAAGGTTAGAAATCTGGAATATGACCAAGGAAGTTGTTGAGGATGTTAATATTGTGGTTCATCTCCTTAAATTCATCTGAAAGAAGCATACAGATTAATAAACACTTTAACATTTCCAGAAAATCCTATTTAGTCTCTTTATGCAACTCTCAAGGAACTACTGCTAGATCATGTAAAGTATACAAATTCCGAATGCTGTAAAAGAGTAAAATTTCATAAAATGATTCATGAGGACATCGAAGATTCCACAACATTACTAGGTCATCCCAATCCAATGCATACTCAAGGTTATTCGGATGACAATTCATTGAGGAGTTGCGACGCAGATCACGAGGATGGGCACAAGTTTGGTAAATGTTTGTCCTGTGGCAAGTTTCATTCATTTTATTCATGTATATTTTGCAATTATAAATGCTTCAAATGTGGTAAGATTGGAGACATTCAGTAAGTTTGTAATACTACTGTTCATTTCGCTCCAAGTAATGCTCGACCTTTCAATTCTGATCCTATTAGGTTGAATGCTTCAAAGGAATCATACCCAGATCAGATTCATGATATTATGTTACCAGATATGAGCTGTTCTCATGATTCATATATTCCTAATCAAATTATTTACAAATATGTGAAAGATATGTCGGTTGCACCAAATCCTGCTCGCAACTCTAATGTGATGATTAGGAGTATTTGAATTATTGTACGAACTGGGAATTCCTGCAATTCAAGCCACAAAGAACTAGGTGTGCACACACGAACGTATTGTATTTAGAGTTCGAAACCAAGCAGTCATCAAGTACAGAGGAATCATTACTTCACACAAACACCACACGGACACAGTGAAACCGCCACATAATTATTTTATACAAATCTAACCCTTTAGACAGACAGGCTATTTATGCTCCAAACCTAAAGCCTTTAAGAGTTAAAAACTATTTAACAAATATTAAAGTGACTTGAGGTAATGATCATGTTTAAGGAATGTCAGTAATCTAACATCAAGTTTAAATTTTGTTGAGTTTAGTAGAACAACTAGAATTACAGTATTTAGCTCTTTGGTTAATAAAGGTTATAGCACACCTGTATTACATACAAATTACCTTCAAGTAATTTTTAATGTTTCTCAATTGAACTCAATAATCTCCACAACCCTATACTGACAAAAAATTTATATTTAATATTTTGTCAACAACTGTTCAACAATTTGTGGCTGCTTATAAGACAAACATGATTTAAGCAACTTTTTCGATTCGTAAAGAAATACTACACGCAGTACATAATACTATATTTTCTAACAATCAATATTACATAAATGTAGAGGCTAATAACTTACTATCAGATCTTTCCGTCGATTGTATCATTATGTTAATGGTAACAAATTAAATTTTCTCTTCATGTTGGTTATAATTAAGGTTGATTTGGTAACAAGTTACCAACTCGTTTATTCACAACTGGGTACACTATTTTCTGTAGCATGTGATGATATTACTAGGTCATCCATAATGAAATAGGTGAAACGTGGTTCACACCTTCTCTATGATAGTTGAAGTCAACTATTTTTGACTTTTCAGCATATTCACAGTAATTAACGTCAGCAAATCAAATCATCGTCCTAACCACAGTTTGCCTTTAATTTTGCAATCCTGATAAACATTTTCCTAGTGAATTGCATAAGGATACCTAAGAGAAATAATATAACCTCTTGACCATGACACTAATTTTACAGATTAACCAAGAATAAGAACAACAATAATGTATATATATATATATATATGTTATACATGTATGTATTTTTTTTGATAAAGCCAAGAAAATAGGAAACAATTTTTTTTAATGTATAAAAACAAAAAAAACAGAAAATAATGCGAAAAAAATCAAAAAATTTTTAATGTTTAAATGTATCAATAAAAAGCAATAATAATAATAATAATAGTTGTATTAGCACTAAAAGAAAAACGAATGATTTTAAGAAAATGAACAATAGAATGCCCATTATTATTCAATGTATTTATTTCTGAATGTTTTTCTAAAAGCAATAATTGTTTTGTTTGTTTGTTTGTTTTAAAAATAAAGGGATAGATGACTGTTTGTTTGTTTATTTGTTTATTTATTTGTTTACTTTTTCAATGACGGTAAAGTTTGAAAAAAAAAAGAAACTGAATTCCATTAGAAATTCTAAAAGAGTACATGATAATGATGGTAGTGATAATGACATAAGGCGTACAATAAATGCAACAGCCAAAAGAAAAATATATATACCAAGAAAAAAAAATTTACAGAGAAAACAAGATTAGAAAAAATAAACCAAATAACTGGTTTTATACTTTTGATACTTCAAAATGTACATGTTCTTATATAGTATGATAGTAAATAATGATGCTGAATTGATAAATGTATGGTATGTAATGACGACAATTATTAGCTGTATGTTGCTATAAGTAGTTCACTTTTAATTTTACAAATGCATGTGCATACATATGCTTGAATAGAATAAATGTAAACTTATGATGTATAAAAGATTGAATAGATTAAAATAATTTGCAGATCTTTATGGTTTTGTTTCTTTTTTTCGAGAAAAAGAGGTCTCATTGACATGAATGATTACCATGATTACCATGATTAGATCAAATAGGTAATGACTGGATAAATATCAAATTATCTGATTAGAATGTATTAATTGATTAGACTGAATTAAAGTTTGTAGTGACTTTGTTTGTTAACTTGAATGAATAATAAAACAACCGATATATTTCAGTATGATTTCATTTTAAAACCTTTTTTTTCAAATTTCTAATTTAACAAATTTTTCAGCTCCACATGATTCAGGGGACCGTGTAGATGACAAACAAAATGATGTATTTCTCTGAAATAAAAGAAAAAGATTTATGTTTTATTAATGCTTCATTTGTACTAGAGTTCATACTCATGACCGTAATGTTAACATGTAAGCGAGAACTTTCAATAGCTATGTACATAATAATAATAATATACATTGTTCCTACGTGATAAATTTCCAATAGTAGTTAATGGAAGATAAAAAATAGTTAGGTAATAGCATCTACTAAACAATCAAAGTCAAAAATATCTGAATGAGCGGTTAGTTTTCTTAATATAATCAAATAATGTTAGATTTCAGAGTATTAACAAGGCGGTGGATAAACGTATAAATTTTTCCTTCAACTTCTTCTGAATAGTTATTTTATATCAGAAGGGGTGAGGCTGATAGGTCCTGGGTTCGAATCTCGTGAGGCATGTTCGTGGGTACACACTGCTGAGGAATCCCACAATAGGACAAAACGATCATTCCAGGTTTTCCATGGTGGTCTAGCTTCAATTGACTCATGATCTCCATTATTAAAGTTATTTTATGGTTTAAAATCTGTTACTAGTATATTTAGAATTGGGAATGAATGTTAGAGCTAGGAAGATTGCTGGAGAAATGATTATGACTTTCTCAATAAACAACTTAATTTATATTTTATTTGATAAATACCACGAAGAAAAAAATCTAGGCTCATTACCTGTTTATCTTCTCATCAAGTTAATTCGTAACCCATATCACAGTGTTTAAAGAAATAATTACGATTGTATATACTGTTCGGTTATTAAACAATGAGCAGTCAACTATATATCAGTGGTAACTTCTTAAGCTGTAGAGCTCCACGATATAGATTCGAATCTCGCAGGAAACACCACTTTCCTCAAGATTGAAGGGTGCGTATTGCTAAAGAAGGCCAACTAGGGTGAGGTCTAATTTCAGGGTTTCCTTCTGACTACCTCCAACCTTCTGACTACCTCTGACTACTTAACATCCTGATTATTAGCTAGATTAACTTAACAAACGTCTCCAATGGAATCCAAGTAGTTTAAATCAAGTATCAAGAAATAATACTGTATACAAACTATTTAATTTACTTGAGAGACCACTTATTTAAGATACAAGGTTCGCTTAGAATAACGAATTATGTTTTCTTCGATACATCAAATACCAATCTATCTGGTGCCGTTTAGTCTTGATGCTGTTTGTAAGCAGCCTGTATTAGGTTTAATATTTAAGCTTCATATTCGTCGAGGATTACATACAAGATCTATTCATGATTAATATAAGAAATATTTCATCAACTGTAGGAGTTAACGATATTTATTCCAAGTTATGCGACTGACGATGAGATTCATTGAATCACTAACCGTCTGAAAACCAGTTCATTTAATCCTATTAGGATTATTTCACAAAACTTTAACCAAATCTTTAACCAGTTATGTTATTATCGGCTGGATATACACATGATTTAAACATCCGTATGAAAACTTCATCAACTCACTAAATGCTTAGTTAGTATAGAATGAACACCATCTGGTTCATCATAACATTTCTTTTTATTGTCCAGACAATTATGTAACAATTCTTCTGATAATAAAAGTGATTCAGATAAATTAGTATGATTTGTCAATTGATAGTTACATAATGTGGAATTTTGTGATATACTTCGATGATTTAAATTCGATGGTATACTAGATCGTGATAATGAGTCAATTAAAGTGGAATTTTGATCTGTTATATCATTTGATTGATTAGCATTAGTACAATCCATAACATTATTATTACTGCCATTACTATTATTATCGGCATTAGTATTGGAATTAGCAAGATTAAAGTAGGCTGTAGTATAAAAATTTGATGTATTAAAATCATGACCGAAATTTGTTGTGCCTATTGTTCCTGTATCCGTTACTGTTGTCGTTGTCGTTGGTGTTATTTGAGGAAGGAGACATGTATTTAGCGTTAATGATTTATTGTTCATTGTATTATCTGAAATTAATGCAGTTGTTGTAAATGCTGATGAATGATTATCATTTGTATCAGATATAGAAGTTGAATTATTCATACCTTGATGAAGATGAATTTGATGATTATGCTGTGATTGGACATGTCCAGAATGTAGATGGTGCGAATGAATGTGATGATGCTGATGAACTGGTGAGGATGATGAAAGTGACTGAGGCAAATGTTGAACTAGTGCATAAGGATCAATTAATTCTGATACAACATGTAGAGTACTACTATTATTGTTATTACCTATGATTAATCCTTGGTGACTTGATTCGTATAACTGATCTGTATGAGATGTTTGACCAGGTCTTAACTCAGAATCTGTTTCGTATGACCAATTTGTATCAACAGCATTTGGTGTATTATAAATGAACCCACGGTTACCAATATTATTTATAGACGTAGCAGTTGTAGTAGTAGATGTAGTAGTATTTGTACTAGTAGATGATAAAATATACGCAGCCATATTTTGCATTATATTTGTTTGATGATTAGACAAATTATGTGGTAAATTTGAATTCATCAATTCGCTACCTACTGATCCATTCATATTAGATGAATTAAAGTAGTCTTGATTTAATATATTAACTGGTTCATCTAGATTTCCTGTACCATTAAATCCCATAGCACCAGTAGATAACGTAGAATTCGGCTGTGAATCGGTAGAATCACCGCTAAAATGATAAGTTTGTTGATACATGTTCAATAAATTAATCCTTTCACGTCTGTAATAAACAAAAAAGTAGAAGTTAAAGTGACTTATTATTTTAAAAACAAAAATCACTCTTAAGAGTTCCTTCATACTTTTATTTCTCACTTAAAATACACTTTTATTTTGAAAGTGATTTCCATCCATAATCGGAAAACAACTAAAATAATTTCTGTTACTTTCTGAAGTTTAATAGAAATCTACATGTTTAACTGATTTAGCAGTCTATATGATATTCCAAAGGTTCCTTTTTTAATTGAAAATAGAAAAGGCTTTCAATGGTCATTACTTTCTAACAAGATGAGCACTAGCATAACGTTGAGTTTACACCAAAGTAGTACTGCTGTGCAACTGCAAATTGTGATTTACCAAAGCAAATAAAGTCAAAAAGTTAAAAATATTACATTAATAATAACTGTCACATTGTTAAGACACTTTGAATCGTTGAACGGCGTAATATTTGTCTAACCTGTGCCATGACTCTATCACATGATTATAAATTTCTCCAATAGTACCCTCAAATTGAAACAATAGGATGAAACCATAAATAAATGTTTCATTTCATAGTGAGATAACCGTTTACAAGAATTCGATTAACGGATCCATTCCTTACAGATTCAAGTAACTTATATCACTAACCGTGTTACTGTTATTTAAGCTCATTGAGTTCAACAATCCGGTCGATTTACTATCATATATATATATATATATATATATATATATATATATACTCAGTATATACATGGATATTTGAGTGCACATGACAGGCTTAATTACATTGACTACAAAGGTGAAGTATGAAAATTTTTGTTAATTTGAGGTCATATAAATGTGCTTAATTTACCGAAACTACATTCAATAAGCATTAAAATTTAGATCATGTTGTATGATTCATACTATTGCTAATGATATTACTAACAAAACCAATACTGTTTCTATACATATTGTCTGTATTACAAACATTTGCTTAGGTTAGTTAGGTTATTCTCTATTCAATGTTCATTTAATGTGAATGTATTGTTTTGGTCTTATTTCAAAGATGAAAATAATCTATCACTATCATTACTAAAACCAATCCTGTAGTCCTATATTTGGTTCAGTACAATTCATTTTAGTTTTAGTCTATTGATGTATAATTAGTCACTGAAATCTATATTGTGCATACTTAAAATATATCCCGATGAGTATATAAAAATGACAAGACGCAATCAATTGTTTTGAATATAGTTTAAACTTATTAATTAGACATCAAACTGTCTGGTTAATTTTGTGTTTTATAATGTAATTTTAATCTCTATGTCTATTAGTAAGACTAAGTTTTTCGGAAACCATTAAACTTTCAATAGTAGTCAACATTTCATTTTCTGCTATCATTGACTCTTCTGTTAATTAATCTCTTTGTATTAGTTCTGTTAACATCATCTCAACGTGAAGATGTAGGATAGGAACTTGGGCCGATGCATATTTCTGTCAGGTCCTTTTTTGCTTATTACTGACTACATTAACGACAAACTCATTGAAATAAAAACTATGTATCATTAAGAAACAGTGTTGTATTATATTTTGGGTGTTTACGCAAGATTTGTGTTTACACCACGTGTGTTGTTGAGGACAAAACAGATTCTCAGATTTTCAATGGTTCTCCAAGCAATTTCAGTCTATGATTAAAACTTTTTTTCCAAACTAAGTGTATTTTTAGATACGCCTTCATAAATATTGATCTTACTTCATTTACACTGAAAACACTATTTCGAAGAACAACTACTGCTCTGACTAGGCTTTCTGGGAAAGCTTATCACTATTCCTCGTATTTTTATCTTATTGGTTAGGATTTGTCTCAACAATTTATTACTTACAGCTGTTTAAGTTGATTGAATAATAGATAAGTATGTGTCGAGAATAAAACATTTCGGCCGAAATGTTCTCTGACCTTAGATAATATCTTGATGTTTTCGTAACTTTAAATATAAAGGGAGATTTGTTTAAACACAGGAAACTTTGACTTAGGAACATTTATCGCTAATATTAAGGTAGATTCTTTCTTCACTGATATTGGTAAGTTTAACACATTGCTCTGTCCGAAAAATTCGAAGCTGCCTGGTTGTGACAGGTTAAAAGACTACAGTCAGCCTTCACAGACATCCATCAACATAATACCTGTCTACTTATTCACTAATTCTATTTACTTACCAATATTTTGATTTTCGTTTACATCCATCAATTCAATTTTAGAGCAGAATATTAACGTTCTTTCTATACATACAGAATAATAATGTCATACATATAAACTTACACTAGGGTAGCTAGGTGGGACTCCGTTTTAAGCCAATGATTCAGAGTGCTTCCAATTACAGCACGATTATACGAGTGTGAATAATTTCCAGATACTGTAGGGTAGTATCGACTTTCCGAAGTATCTGATCGTTTTTCTGTAGTATTTTTACCTACCATCATATTAGTATTCACGTTATTTGTAATATTTAATGATGAGGTATGATTATTAATGTTAGTGTCACTTTTGCTTTCTTTTCTGTTGTTTAAATCATTTGTTAATGGTGATTGTTTCATCATCATGTTATATTGTTGATTATGATGATGGTGATGGTAATTATTTTTAGCTAGTGCATATATCCATGCGCGTAATAAACCATAACGTACACTCGATAACGTTTCGACAGCCCCAGGTAAATTTGTTGGAACTAATAAGAGATTATATGATTCTCCATTAAAGTGAATTGTATTTTGTCCATAACCATCATAATCATTTTCTTGTCCATAATAATCAAATATGTCGTCAACTCCATTCGGTTCACTAGGACACTTCTCATCATTCATTAAATATTCATTATTTGGTGATAACCAGTTATGTTCACGTAACAGATTGGCATCCTTTTCATAATTTACCCCATTATTATTTTGAATACTGGCATTAGTGATACTATTTATATTGCAAACTGATGATGGTCTTTGATTTGAACGTATCCGTTTGACTTGTCGATCATTACGGTCGTCTGGAAATAAAGGGAATAGCTTGAAATAACTTGTGAAGAATGTTATCTACTTCTATCATTAAGTATCATTAAAAAAGTACTTACAAACATAGCCGTAATTTTGTTGTGATATGTTGCCAGTTAATTTGGCTTACTGACAAACAACGACAGAAATCTATAGTTTGTTGTAGGAAATTCCGAATGGATCTAATGTGTCTATTTTCTGTCTACAGTAAAAAATTAGTTATTGTGATAGGTCAAACCGTACGGAAACAACTCAGTTGATCAAAGTGATAATGTTTTGACACATTATTACGTGAATTTCACCTAGAATAACTAAGAACAAGCCAATAATTAAATACTTAAGTAAAGTTGTATTCTTCAAGCTGTCTATGATAATCTATACAAACTTAAGTTCATATATGTTTCTATAAACAAATAATTCGGGAATTCAGATGTTTAGAAAAGATTTGAACCAGATACAAATGATAAGAAGTAGGAATGATCTAATTGTGTGTTTTGCGAATAACAAAACCAAATTAAATACTAAAAGTTCAAAAATAACCTTTTGAAATAATGATTATACCCGAAATTTGTTATATCCTCAACACTGGTTAAACAGTAGGGAAAATGATATGTATGACTACGAATTATGATACAAATTTTCATCAGCTTCTAACCCACAGTGCTTATGAATCTTAGTTAATCGACTAACAAAGAATCGCTAAATTCGACGTGGATATTTCACTATCAAACTGATATCTTCTACATTTCCTTATGAGAATTCACTTAGGTGTTTATTCTGTGAAAATGATAAGTAGCTATAACTGCTAAAGTTACGAAATGTTAACTTCATTTTTTATGAATGTGAGTTTAATTGGTAATTTGTAATGATTTAATGGTCTCTTCAAATGTTAGTACTGTTTTCAGTTTTCAGTAATATAAACGAATCTATAAAAATTCGGACTAAACAAAGTCACTTACTTGATTCCTTCCTGCGTTTACCTAATGAAGGAGTACCAATTACCAAGGAATCTCCAGTACGTCTTTCGTTATTCTCTTTATCTCGTTTAGGACATGCGCAACTACGAAATTTGATGCACTGACGTCCAAGTACCTCACAATGTCCCTTACTTGGATCAGACCTGTTTTAACAAAAAGAAACAAAAAATGTTTTCATTGACATGTTTGTGCCTACAATAAGTGGAAGGATCATTATACCATGGATGATCATGCATAAATCAAATGAGGAGCTAGAGATGATGTCAGATATACACTATAGGTTTGACTATGACTATCGGCTTAACATTCTGAAGAAAAGGAGTATCCTACTGATGGAAAACAGCTTAATTTTCTGTGGGACAAATATCTATACTTATGAGTGAGTTGTTTATACATTCCCAATTCGGTTAGACAATAAAAGTTTACTAATCACTCTTGGTTTTCCCACTCAAGTAGCTGGTCTGAGTATACATATAAGACGCGTATATATATATATATATATATATATATATATATATATATATATATATATATATATATATATATATTCAAATCTCATGTCCACAGAACTTAGCAGACTGACAGTTATTTTCTGATAAAAAAGGTCCATCAACCCTTTCATCTTATATACTTTATAAGTTAATATTTCCTCAAACTATTCAACAGACTACATGATAATAATAATTTCAAAAATCATTTCCAATTTTCTTGATATGTTTGTGGATACACTTTGATAATCACACTCAGTTTACCAATTATTATGTTATACTTTTTAACTTTAAATAAAAAACTTCGGAAGTTACCTCACTATTTTTATGGTAGCTTATTCAAAAAGACTATTTACACAATATTTACTTTTATCTGAAGCCACCAATATAAGGCTAGTCTAGTTATTTATTTGGAAGTACTATGCACTTGTGACTGTATACATAATCTAAGAGCTACTGAAATGCTTGAAGATAGTTTACTCTGAGAAAGTTTACTTTGAAAAACTAATTGATGACTACAACCAACGAACTAACTTGATATCAGGAAACATAATACTTGTTTTCAGTAGTGTCTGATAAGAATTAAATTATATTTTCTAATTAATATGATAGGAATATCCAAACGTAATACTGTTATGAGACTTTTCAACATGAAATAAACTTTCTATTTGGGAGACCATAATGAACACTAAAACTGCTTTGTTTAATCTAATCGCTGATCTCAATCAATGTTGACTACCTCGTAAACCTATAAACAACTATTAACAGGTGTCATCAACGAATGGTTTAACTGGGTTCTGAGATCATATTCACTTTTTCAAACGAGCAAAAAATGAACCCCATAACTTATTAAACTTGATTAAAATAGACTAGACAATTTTGAGGATTGCACCGATTCCTAAGGGTTTGATTATCTATTTTAATGAGTTAATGGTTTTTAAAATATAACAAAGTCTACTAGACTTCTACTTTTGAATTGAACTTGCTTGTAAACTCTTTACTATAATTATCTCGATTCACAATGTTCTATACCATTAGGACTTTTGTGAACCTTTTAAACCTTACAGGTTATCATGTATGATAGTCTTATCACTTTACATTCTCATGAAGGCAGTGTTATTCAATTTTATTAAGTGATGGCTTTATTTAGTTAATAAATACTATTTCTGTTTAAACGCATCAACATCCAAATGACTACTCAACATCTGATTCATTCACCCGCACGAATAAACTTTCTCAAAGTATGTCATGTCTAGGTTCTTTTGTTTTATTCTACAAATTTATATACTTTTTTAATCTGTAGACAACGTAAACTAATCTGTTCTGCTATTAAAGACTTATAATTGTAACTCTAGTCTTTCTAACGAATACCCCCGTGACCAGACAAAATGACTTTTTCATAGTTTTCTCTCTATATCTTTTATCGTTACATCTAAATTCTTATATGAATAGTGTTTTATCTTCATGGTTGTTATTATTGTTATTCTTACTATATTTGTTGGCGAGTTCACTAACTTATAAGTTAGTTCAGGTCACGTCTGGTCACTACATGGTCTAATCGTTTTGGACATAGGACAAAATGATAAGATTTAAGATGGAAATAAACAAATACATATATCCATGAATAATGTATAAAATGATAAATTTATATATGATTCTGAAATGACCTTAGTTGCTAAGTAATTTTAATACAGCAGAAGTACAGATAGTACAGATAGTAATAATATTGAGTATGTAACCCCCCTCCTTTCACTACCTCACAAATGTACATATCATCACTCCTCTTGCTTCCAGAGGGTATATACACATATATATATATCGACATTTAGAAACGTAGAAATATAGACACACTTTTACTTCAAATGTATATGATTTTTTTTTGTTTGAATAAAAGATTTTAAAACATGCTGAAGCATGTCAATGTAAAATTGACAAACCAAAACTATTATCGTCTATTCTACTATTGTTATTGTCGTCATCTTTCTTTCTTTTTTTCTAATTCACTGTAGATGTGGAGATATTTTTTCATTACATAGAGACGTCTTTGCATATATATTTAGTATAAATGATGTTTTTCTATATTATCGAAGGACAAAAGAACATTAACATTTACTGGTTATCAATTTATACAGTTTCATTTTGGTTTGTAATTAAACTTCTTATCTGGTCTATTCATATCCATTCAATATTACATCAAAAGCAAATCCAATATGATATTAATATATATTAATCCATATATTAAAATCTATTGAATCCTGATTCAGTTCAGGCATCTGGGCAGTATCACAGCCCTCACACAAATCTCGTTTGATTTGTGTGGCGCATAAGTATCTGGTGCCCCTTTGATACAATATTTATGTGTTTAAATAAATAAAAAAATCTATTGAATATACAATACAATATACATTAACTATCTATTGATAACAAAAAAGAAATTACAACTAAGAACATTTGTGGAATCACTGAAAACCAGGAAGTGTTTTTTTTAAACCCATTTTTACTTTATCAAGCTTGATATGATGAATACATCTGTAAAGCATTTACATGCTTGATATATACAAATTTCTATCTCAGAAGGGAGTTTTGTGGAGATTATAGTAATTTTATATAGTTGAGATCATGAGTCAATTGAAGGTAGGGTTAAGTGCTGGTAGGTCCTGCGTTCGAATCTCGCGAGGTGGGATCGCGGATGCGCACTGCTGAGTAGTCCCACAATAGGACGAAATGGCTGTCCAGTGCTTCTAGGTTTTCCATGGTGGTCTAGCTTCAATTGACTCATGATCTGAACTATATAAAATTTCTATCTATCAAATTTTAGATGATAAAATTGTACTAAAACAAGAGTTGTGTCAAAATGTTTGAAGTTGACATATGATTATAATCACGAAAGCGATAATTATAACTCATTAGCTAATTCTAAAGATAATTACTTTAATAATCGTTAGATTTCATATAAATTATTATACACTTACCCAGTTATTAGACGTTCTAAAGTTATGATTAAGAAGAGTGGTTTCTTGTTCCCTTGACCACCATTGTATAGACAGCTATTAAAACACATAAATTTTCCATTGAACTGACTATATTCACATCCTTCTGCAATTAAAAAATGGTATACAATATAGAGAGTGATAATCAATTGTTTTTTAAAATCTAGTGTAATCACTACAATATCAGCTATTGGCTTTCTTTATCATTTTTTAATTTTATCATACAACAAATTCAGTTACACTATTTGACGACGTGATCACTACAGATGAAGCTTTTCAGGAAAAATCATTTAGTTGACTTGTTTAGGTTGTAGGAGTGCAGAAGAACAATTTAATAGGGGTAAACTACCATTCTGTTATCATATAAAATTACCTCTCGAATAAAAGTTCCATCTTAAAACTTATATCATACGTTATGTGTCAGAAAGAATGTCTGAATGAATTTGGTGATAAATGAGAGAACAATTACTCCTTAGGATGACAAATATGGTAATAACTGGAGGGTTGGTGTAGTACTACATGTATTTAATTACTTGATTGCATACAGCAGGTAAAATAAGTGAAAGGTTCTTGTGACATAATCATTTGAATTTAACCGTTGTACAACCCGTGATCATAACATAGGTCTGAAATATTGATCGTCTTAACAAAATTATAATCTCAGATTTTTCTTCTAGATACACTTACATAAACTGCCTCATCATAACTTTAAAGATGATAGGAAATAATCAGCAACAAGTCGATGAAATTCCTATGTAGTTGTGAATAAGCTCCAAGTTCAAAAACTAGATGTAGGAATTATAAGAACTGAACCTAGTCTTACATAAACTAAATAAAATAGAAGAACATGAATAACAGGTCATTATTCATATGTATTAGTTGGTACATTTATTGAGTTATGAAGTAAGAATTTGCATGATTAAGTTGCTAAGTGAAATCAAAAAAATATGTAAACACAAAAACAGTTTAAATTCTGACCAAACCTCAATTAATTTGACATAAATTTGGACAATAAAATGAATCTTTTAGAAAATAAAATTAGTATGTATGATAGAAATGGAAAAAAACTTTTTAACTTTTATTTATACCTTTAGGTGTTTCATATGGTAAAGTAACGCATAATCGTTCTGTTATCGGATCAAAAAAGTATTCAGCCAATGAATTACCAACCATTACTATACTGTAACGACCCATTCCAGAAGTTGGAATTGCCATAAAATCTTCAAAACATCTAAATAGACAATAATAAAAGAAGTGATATGAATACATTTATTTATACAATATGGATAAAAACTATATATTCAACATTAATTTCTCATAGATTCTAACAGCTTCTTAAATATACTTAGATGTTTGAAAGCAATCTGAATAAAATGTTTATGAATATTCAAATATTTCATTGTACAAGGAATGTGTTGAAATGAAATGAATTGAATAATAGAGATAGATAGTGGCTAGCAGTGGAATCCAGGATGCGCGTTTCGTCCAACTTGGGACTCGTCAGCTGGATGTAGCTGCATCTCAGAGTTGATATTCACTTTGGGACTCGAACCCAGTACCTTTCGCTTCAGACGCCATCGCGTTGTCCACTCAGTTACTGAGTCCTGATAGCCACTTGCTTGTGCAGTGAGGTGAAGTTTAAATTCAACAGACCAGTTGCAGTCCTAAACACCAATAGGAACATTCAAACAAACAATACTAATTGAATTTAAATGAATAATGTTTTCATTTTGGTTTGAAAAATGATGGGTAGACAGTTATCACACTTTTCTTCTCAATCCTGTTATACATTTATTGATAACCTTTAACAAGGTCAAAATCGAACCGTTTGGGTATTATGGGGAACAATTTTTTTGAACTATTCAACAATAACTTATAATGTAATGTCACCGAACCTGATATTTATTATACCTTTTAACTGGTACAAAACACTAAATTCGATTCTCAATGGAAAGAATAGAAATCGACTGACGGGTCTCACATGTAACGAAATGTCCGTTTTAGATTTTATTTCTAGTCATCACTAGAAATTAACAATTGACTTTACTGATCCGTATTCTTTTAGAGTATTGGAAATTCAACAGCTGATGCTATTCTATTCATTTCCTCATTCTTGAAGGCATTACAAACAGACCATAGAAAATTATCCTTTAAAATTATTTGCTTATTAGACAAATAAGAGCGATACAATACTATTATGGAGTTTAACTGAAAGGGGGAATTGTTTGTCTGTTATGATTATATTTTAGGATAGAAGTGAATGCTTATTACAAAGTAGGTAATGGATAGAAAAGAACAAATTTTCTGCCTTTATTTTTCTTCCTCTCAAAAATTATAGACTTGGAAAACTGTTTAAGTGGTTTTTATTAGAAGAATAGTCAAACGTTCCCAATGAATAGAAAAATAACCGATTATATTTGGAAAAATTTCCGCATAAGTGAATGTAGAATGGAAGAAAACTTTCGCTTTTATAAGGAACAAAAACAAAATTAGGTTTCAATTTAGAATTATACAGTATAAATCTTTTTAATAGTGATTATCAGTGATTTATATCTATTTTCAAGGTTAACTTTTACTATAAACTGATGTCAGTGGAAGTGTCGTTGACAATCAGGAAGTACTGGATATCTTTCCTGACCAAGTTTTGAACTTCACATGAGTGTGTCAACTCACAAATCCATCTGAGATTAAACCCAAGAACTTTAGGTTTCTCTGCAAACCCGATATAATTAGATCAATGTGTTGGAATCCAATACCTTACACACCTAAACTCTCTTAATTTGTGAACAAAACGGTATTACTTATTTATTGCATTCTTACTATGACATTAGTGTACATGTAACTATCTATACACATGTACACACTATTGAAATATAATTTTCAATTATCTATTTAAATAAGCTAATTTGTGAGTGAACAAGTATTCCGAATGTATTTATTATATACTTGTCAGATATTGTAAGGAATAGAAGACCAGATTATCTATCTGAAACTGAAATGGAAACAGCACTTTATTTGATTAATTTTTACTAAAAAGAATATCTCGAGTCAAAGATTCCTCTCTTAATAAGAAACATCTTAACATATCTCGTTAACTTTGAAAATCAACCAACCAGCTCAGAGAAATTAAAATTATAAATGGAAACCGACGAACACAGAAAATTTGTTCATTATGAATATCAGCGAATCTGGGTCTTAATGTAATAAATTAAAACCACTATATAAGTATCCACGTCTCAGTAACAACTAAAATGAAACAATCATCAATATTAAAATAAGTTCATAAAAATCACAGTGATTTTTGTTTTCATTAGCAAAAGTGGAAAAACTTACCTCTGGATTACTTCCTGTTGTTTGTCTGATGCCCCGTAAACTGGTGTTAAACGAATGAATGAACCTTCTGGGGGTTTACGTTGGCACCAATAGGATAACGTCCACCATGTAGGTGTTTTCTTTGCATACAAATTTGTCCATCCTTGTTCATCTTTAAAATACTACAATCCAATAGTAAATACAAAGAAAAATGAGATTTAGGATAGTTTATCTATCACTGAAGTGAGGACAGTTCAATAATAAATACAAACATTTTCCACAGGTTAGCCAGCCATTTTATGATTTTATCTTAGTGTAATGAATAATATTATTCAGTAAATTTTCGTTGGTCATTGGGTCGAAAAACTGTGACTAAAATAATTAGTATATTTCAGAAGGGGTGTTGTGGAGATCTAGTATTTTCATAGTCGACATCATAAATCAATTGAAGTTAAACAACCATGGAAAACCTGGAAGCACTGGACGGTTGTTTCGTCCTATTTTAGGACTCCTCAGCAGTGCTCATCCACAATCCCGCCTCACGAGATTCGAATCAAAACAATATATTCAATTATTTAGAAAATATCTTGTTATGAGTAATAAAAAGTAACAGATCTAATTATGAGGATTATCAGAGTTTGAAAACAACTTCATGCTTAAGATAATATTGAGAAATATTTGTCAAACACTAACATTAAAATCGTTCTGACTAAATTGTATTTTATATGTATTTACTCGTCGTGCATAGCGCCAAAACGAATACTTGATCATTAAATTATCCGATTAACGTACTTCTACACCAAATATACTTCTTAGCACAAGTTAATATAACAGTATAAATAACCCATTTAAGAAGCCCGTGTAACCCAAAAGTGGGTCATAAAACAATGAAATAATAAGTAAATGATTTTTCAAGCTTTAATTAATTAGATATACTATTTACTTACAAAAAATGCAGTACTCGGTTTTGTTTCACTTGCTTCATAAGTATCACCACATAATGGTCGATAAAGATCGAAACCATAAAAACCAGGAAAAGATTCTCTATAGTTTAATAAAATGAAAGTTATATGAACATTAGGATGATAAAATATATTGAATATCAGCAAATAATATAGAAAATGCATCAAATAGGCAGAATATCATTCAGATAATTTATTCTTAATCTATAAACAATTATTATTCTCAACTGTTTTCGTTTAATGAATTACTGAAAAATATGAGAGAATAAAACAGCAGTAACATCATAGCTTCGACCTATACAGTAGAAGTCCTTGAATTCATAGGTAGCCCATGTTACTGTTAGAACAAAATACTTGCTCATCATTGAAATCTTTCCTGAAAACGAGAACACTAAAAATTTTAAAATTTACAGTTGGAGTGTATTTCGCTCTACAGGCTGAAGTGATGATTCACATGATTAAACGTGCATTTATTTTCACGAAAAATATTTCAAAAATTATTTCATTTTACTTTTGAGGAAATTGATACTGAATTTTGTAACTATTAGAAATGTACTACTAACAGTAGTAAGTAACATTTTTGTGACAAGAAATTAAAATGATTGATCATCATCTACTGAGTTTACCTTGATCTTATCCACTATTCAGTTTTATTTATTCTATCAAGTCATTGTTAAATCTAACGATGATCAAGAGCATAACTTTTCAAATGTCATCCACATAGTCTAAATAGGAATATCTTCATCATGATTACTAATTTGTGGTTAAATGTTATTAATTTTTTTCTAGAGATCAGAAACAAGACGAAAAGAGTGAAAGGAAATCTTAGTTTTCTATATGACTCTAAAATCTTCTGATAAGTCTAGCTCTTTGTTTAGTCATTTTTTTGACAAAAAGAATATTCCATTCTGTACTGTTTACTGACAAGTATATAAGTTTTTAAAAAAATAATACACACATAGGCAACCCATGTATACACAAGTATTAAAAAAAAATTTGCATTCACAACTGAAAAATTTATATATATGAAGAATCAAAACAACTAGAATGAATCATTTCCAACTATTATTTCATTATTAATATTGCCGTCAACACTTCTATCGTCTGCGTTATTGTTATTAATATCTTGATTAATTCAATGAATTAAATTTCGTTTTTATCATTTTGTTATTACTTTGATTATGTTCTATCATTGAGTCTTTTTTGCTTTGTTTATGTTGCTTATTACAAATAAGGTACCACGCCCCAAATTTGTATATCTTTTGATATTTATAGACATATGTACCAGACATTTAAAGTATATATATATATATATATATATATATATATATATATGAAGAATACTTACTTTTCAATGATTAACTAGGTAAAACAACACAATCTGATATAATCAGAAGGGGTTTTGTGGAGATTTAGTATTTCCATAGTTGAAAGCATGAGTCAATTGAAGCTAGACAACCAAAGAAAACCTGGAAGCACATCCAACATCCGTCCCACATTAGGACGAAACGGCCATCCAGTGCTTCCAAGTTTTCCTTGGTGGTCTAGCTTCAATTTACTCATGTTTTCAACTACGACAATCTGATATACTAATGTTTAAGTTTTATCCTAAATTTCAAATCTACTGGTTAAATTAAGTGGTGTATAAGAGATTTAAAATTTTATCACAGTTAACTTATCATAGTAACCTGATTAGTTTTTTTCATCTTTTAATTGAGGACCCAGAAACTAACTGTTATCAAATATGCCTGGATTATTAAAGTCGTTCGCTCTCAATAAACATTTTCAAACACATAAGCAATAAATGTTTTGCTGATATTGTTCCATTCATTTAAAGTACATGAATTCTGGTACTATAGAACTCCAAAAAGAAATACACCACACAGATGAAGCAAAGATATTGTAAAGAAACAAAGAAGGAGAAGGTGGCTCAATTAGTAAAAAAAATGAACAAGCTACATTCCCACACAACTAAAGAAAACTTTTGACGTCGTTAAACTAAAATGAATATGATTCAGTGAGTAGAATCTTCTTATCGGAAATACAATTTATATTATTCGTATTTTTAGTTAACTTTTACACATACATGTTTATGATGAAATAGAAGGTTATTGTGTTATTTTATAAAGCTATCAAAAAAAGGATCGGGTGTAAGTTACGTGGTAGCCCTAGGAGTAAGAAGAAATAGAAATTTATAAAAAAAATAGATGAATTCTCACTTGATGAATATAAGGAAAGGGAAGAAAAAGTAGATGAATGGTTATAACAATGTGTTAAATTATAAGTGTTGCTAAGGCTATGGTAAAATAATAAAAATTGGTTAAATCTCATTAGAACACAACTTTTAAATTAACAAAAGGAAATTAGTGCAAAAGAAACGAGTAAACCAGGTAGATCAAAACTAAAGTAAAAAAAACGTTCTGTGAGTAACAGATATAAACAAGCATGGCCAAAAGTTTAGGATTTTCAGTACCTTAGAAACATGTTGCATAACCTTAACTTATACTTCCTGAAAAATTCAATAAATATTCTAGTGTAGTATACATATATATTCCCAACATGTTATATTTTCCTTCATATTATGATTATAATTGTTACGTTTTGTACACAAAACAAGTCGAGTCATTCTAAAAACTAGTTTGCATAAACATTTGGTGAACTATTGTCATTGATATTATGATTTAGTTAATAACGCATCAGAAGATCTAAACGTTTTTTGATTATTCGGTGTGGATTTCTGTCCTAAATCTTCTGGCTTATGATTTGAATTTCCAGACTAAGCATTTTGTATAACTTAGTTCATTATTTGCTAACGAACAGTTAAAAATATTACGTGATTATATTACAGCTTCATATCACTCAAAAAGTCGGGATAATTCAAACTCAAGCGAATTTATTTGAAATAAATTCATAATCATGGGTATAATAGTTACTTACAGAACAGGTATATCGTCAGTGTATAGCTTTTTCGGTGGGAATGCTGAATCTAGATCTGTATCTGGACGAGGACCAATACTTGTAGTGGTCAAACTGTTTCCGTTTTCCAGATCGTGATATGCATTTGGGCTGATTTTAAAACGATGTTGTGTACCATACATGGTAAGTGTTGAGCCATTCGGTGAGGTACAGTTTGAACTAGAATTCTATACATAAAAAAGACAATCAATTAGGGTAAATAAAACTGTGTCCCACATGACAATTAGACAATAAACGCGATTGAATATTTATTACAAATTGCCTAGTTAGTTTTTCTCAGTTAAGTTTCATTAGAAATCAGCGATTCGAAATCAGAATAAACATCAGCAAATAACTTTGTGGGACATGATAGTTAACTTTAGATTGGGGGCCAATAACTACTTGAAAAATTACTGATAGTTTTCAATTGAAAATAATCACCCACTAAATGAGTTGTATGCAAGTTGTTTAGAGTAGGCTACAGTAATCTACAGTAATTACTTCTAATGTTGGTTGAAGCTTTAGTGACGAGAAGCATAGGTTCCCTAAAATTCTGAAAAATATTAATTAAATACATATGTTGATTACTGAGAATAGACAGCTACTCATACTGTAATAGATAAAGTAGAATTTGAATGTGTCACTGGATAGTCAAAGCTTGATTACTATAACCATAAACCAAATCATTAAAGTTCAGTATTAGATATATTTGTTTAAATAAACCATAATATTATTACAGAACCAATAATAGTTCACGTTTAATCATTCTGATAACGTCAAAAATAATTTAATGAACAGACAGCATGTTAATCTACCTACACTCAATACCTCAAAACCCTTACAAAAGTTATCATTTTTCTAGTACGTACATTTTATATAGTTGAGATCATGATTCAATTGAAGCTAGACCACCATGAAAAACCTGGAAGCACTGGACAGCCGTTTCGTCTTATCGTGGGACTCCTCAGCAGTGCACATCCATGATCCCATCTATCGAGATTCTTACCCAGGACCTATCAGTCTCGAGCGCGAGCGCTTAACCATTTACATTCCTTGTTTAATAAGTTTTCTAAATCACTAACTAAAGCAACAAATCTTTCTTAATTCTCCTGAATTATTTCATTTTTGACGGAACATGATGACGATGATTAATTTGGATTACTGTCTAAAGACTTGTAATTAAGTTTTTGTTTATACATATTACCTGAAAGAAAAATATTTTGTGGTCAATATAAATCGATAATGTAGCTAAACCTTGAATTCACTTACTATCGACCTATCTAAATGAACATTATCGTCAAAAAATCTTCAGAATTCTGTTAAATATACGTTTCCTTTGTCAGTTCACTTGATATTAGCTACGAATTATTTTTCACTTGTGACATAATACTTATACATGTATATATATATTTTTGAGACCGTTGAGTATTAAATAGTGCTCTTAAAGTTACTAAAAACTCATAGTGCATTAGTGTATACAAACAAGTAAATATATTGGTATGATGAGTTTTAACTCATTCGAGAAAAAACATCAAAGAAATCCACCTATAACCTTAAAAATCATACGAACTTCCGAAATGACCAACTTATTTAGTAGTAGATTATGTTATTTCGTTTTTAATAGATGATTTGACATCTTGAATGAACACGACGTATACTTTACCGGTATCCTATACATTATTATTATTAGTAGTATTATTTAAATGAAGCTTTACAACATTCACCTCATATACTAGTATGTCAATACTAATCTTTATAAGATTAGGCATACATAATTATTTTACAGTATACTTTGATAATGCAATGAGAAGACGAAGTTTATCAGAATTATGTGATATATTAGCGCAATACATTTCGAACAATCTGATGTATTGCGCTAATATAGCACATAATTCTGATAAACTTCGTCTCCTCATTGCATTGTCGAAATTTATCAAAGGGACTAATTGTTTTACAATACACATTATATATATTAAACAGTAAATTAACTTACCAAATTATCGACTAAATTAGTACAATCAGTAGTTGATAATTCATTGGTATTACTGTTTGCATTGCTTTTGTGATTAGTGATAACCATATTATGATTATGATTATTATTTGTATTACTATTATTATTATTACTAGTATTATTACTGTTATTATGTTTATGTATATACTGTACATTCGATAAATTTGTATAATCATCTATACCATCAGAGATTACATTTACCGATTGACATTGGATAGAGTCTGTTTCATTCATTAGTAATGTAATATTCATTTTTGTTTTTGTTTTTTTTTGGCTCAACTTTTCGTTTATACTGAATAAGCGAGAAAAAAAAATAAACGAAGCTTTTTTGTATCCTTGTTTTTTTTCTTTTAATATTCCACTTACTACACGGAATGTAACACTACTATTAGCATTGACGATAGTAATTTATATTATATCCACCTTCGGAACATAAGATGAATTTATCGTCCTTTCAGTGTTCAGATTAAATTACAACTGAGAACTATGACAAATAGTAAATTAATAATCATAATTGTATTGGAAAGAATCGGTTGTTGGTAGGATATGGTTGGTGGTGGTGGTGTGGTTTACTTAAATGGACTAAGGCAATGAGAAAGTATATATATATATATATATATATATATATATATTGACGTATTTCTTATTCTTCTTCACACACATACATTATTTCTATATGACCTATGGACATAATGACCAAAAAATTAAAATTGAATATACATATAATATAAACTTTAAAAAGACTGAAACACGGGGGAACTTAATATTCAAATGAAGTATTGTAGAAATGTGCACATAAACATATATCTACGTACAAACATACAAATAAGAGGATGATTACTTATATATAAAGAATGAAAATGAAATAATTTGCGGTTCTAAGGTGGTGTATATACAGTGAGCATACACATTTGGATAGAGATAAAGCATCATATCTGATAAGTTTTCTTGATCATTTATTGTATTGTACACGTCAATTTTTTTAAAAAAATAACAATGTTTATACCGCATGTGGATAATACTAACATGTTAATAAACACACATACATACAAAAGTAAATATTGATGATCGACAAAATAAGGACATAGTAAAAATATATATATGATCTGAACTAACCAATCTATCACTAACCTCATTGGGCAATTAAATTAATCATAAATTTGTGCTCATATCATTTTCTGCGCGTGTGTACAATTGTACATAGAAATATGTATAATTCTCACTTGTGTATGTATGTGAAATGACATTTGTATTCGTGAGAGTATATGCGTAGAGAGAGAGAGAGAGAAAGACTGGAAACTATTGTCCATAATGTCCACTTAAAAAAAACTTATTTACTCTTTATTTTAAAGATCATCATCGTGACCACCCTACAACTACGACCACTACTACTACCACCACCACCAATGTAACCAATAATTTCAACAGTAAAAATAAACCCCGACCTGATGACAAGTTAAACATTAAAACAATATAGTATATGAACAGCAGTATCAACAATCATCTCAATTTACGTAGGGGGTAGAATGCAAAAATAGACACATCATAAAACAAGAGAGTTTGTAATGTTTGTCCAGTAATACTAAGAAAATACATATGTACATCAAGCCAAGTATAATAATAATAGAAAATATAAAAAAATTTAATTAACTAACTAGCACTCCTCTTCCTACAAATACACGTACGTAAGTAATTCTATCACTGTATATCTGAGTCATTTAACTCTAAATCAGTTTATTTTCTACATATTAATAATCACGTGTTTTATATGTTTAAAAGAAGTAATTGATATATCAATGCATACTGGTTAATTTTGTTTCGAAGACAAAAATAAGCATAAAATAACCATTCAACACCAAAATCGGGTCCCAGAGTGAATATCGACTCTGAGATGTAGGTACATCCAGAGTCCCAAACTGGAACGAAACGCGCGTTTTGGATTCCACTGCTAGCCACTATTCACATTTGTTTTTAGATTGTCCGAGGTTTCTATTATAGTATATTGTTATAATAGATTGTGAATTTATTGAAAGTCCTTTAAAAAGAGAAGTGTTGTTTCATTCTCTTTTTCTTTAATGACAATCTTTTGAATTTAACATTAAAATCTATCATCTGAAAACTGATATCTAAGTATTTCTGAGAAAATAATGTACAAAATTACCGTGAATTTATTTTTCAACACCGTACTTATATACGGTTGAAAATCGAATTCATTAAAAGTAGAATTTATGGTTAGCGTTTTTTTAACGAGTTAGCTTTTCTACGGGATGGGGTCGCTAACCCCATGCCCAACCCTCCTTTATCCGGGCTTGGGACCGGCAGTAACTCTAGAAGAGCTACAGGCGGAGTTTAATACGAACGTCAAGACAGTCCTACTGAATGGAGCTGAAACGTGGAGAACTACAACGACCATCATCAGGAAGGTACAAGTATTTATAAATAGTTGTCAACGCAAAATACTCAACATCCATTGGCCGGATACTATCAGCAACAGCGTTTTATGGGGGAGGACAAACCAGCTTCCAGCTGAAGAGGAAATTAGGAAAAGACGTTGGAAGTGGATCGGACATACACTAAGGAAATCACCAATGTGCATTACAAGGCAATCCCTAACTTGGAATCCGGAAGGGAAGCGGAGAAGAGGAAGGCCAAAGAACACAATACGCCGGGAAATACAAGCAGATATGAAAAGGATGAATAGCAACTGAAAAGAACTGGAAAGGAAGGCTCAGGACAGAGTTGGATGGAGAATGCTGGTGAGCGGCCTATGCTCCTTGACGAGGGGTAACAGGCGTAAGTAATTAAGTAAGTAAGTAAAAGTAGAATTTGTGATGTAAAAGATCATTTACTCATCATGTAGGATAAGAGATCTGGTTTATGAATAAAAGAGATCTTGAAAGAACAGTGATAATTGGAGAAAAAATTTCATCATTCTCTACTTTACAAGTGTTATTCGATGGATACTAGAAATCGCAGGAAATTATATTTAGATAAATTTTTGGATGGCAATAGATATATGTATAGCTAACTTCTGGATAAACAATAAATTATACTATGGTACAATATTTCTAAAGAAAATCATTGGTGACTAGCTTCAAGATGTAATTTCTGGAGTTCTAGTGAGAAGCCGCGACTAGTGGAGTCTAATTTGAGTTGTCTGTGAGAGAGTTGTCCACCTGGAGCAACGGATGAAGGGTTGCGCAAGACTATGGATTGATTGAAGTTAAACATTATTACTGTCGAATGCCAGTTTGGTGATCTGGAGGTTAATAGTTTCCGTGCAATGCCGAAGGTCATGGGTTCAATCACTGTGTGCGGGGTCGTGGATGCGCACTGCAAAGGAGTCCCATACTAGGATGCAATAGCTATCCAGAGCTTCCAGGCTTTTAACGGTGGTTTAGTTTGAAACGACTTGTGATTTCAACCGTAAAAATCTTATCATTATAACTTACATGTAGAAAGAAGTCTTCACTATACAGGCCAGTGTATTTCTTAATACTGCAGGAGTCTCACCATCTAGCGAAGTATGTACCTTGATATGAGTGATAGAAAATGTAGAAACACAACTTTGATGATAGTTAGCATATGAAGATCTTGGAATCATTCTTATTATTCGCCTCTAAACAATGTGATTTATAAATCTTACAATATACAACTGAAATCTTTTTCAACGGTCATTCTAAATAATTGTCGTACTGCATTTATACCGAACCTATACAATCATTCAACTTAAATAAGGGGTTTGGAATTAAATAAAAAATTTGAAAGTTCTCTATTTATAAAATTAAGATCTGTTCTAGGATTTAGATTTCATGTTAATCATCAATTCACTTCATGACGTTATTTCAGTATGACACTATTTCACCCTCAGTAAACTCAATCAGAATTCTAACTATCAATATGTTGATCAATCACAGCCAATGCTATAGTTTGATTTTTTTAAGAACTCAATAAAATTAGAAAGTTTTAAAGGCGATTTACATGTAAATCGTTGAAGATTCGATGTGAAATAGTAGCAACTCTTAACTATATTTCCTTTTAGTGAAGCAAAACATAGACAATATTTATCATTCGAAAATACTATATAGAAAACAGTTATTATGAACATTGAACTCTTTAAAACTAGTTAATTAACTTGCTAATCAGAAAGTTCAGTAACCTATAAAATAAGGAATCATTTTCATCAGAATAAATATTGTGAGAATAAGTAGCAATCGGAATTCTTCGTTCCCTAATTTCATACTTTGGTTATAAGCCATTATTATCTAGTTAACTTGGAATCCTGAAGGGAAACAGAAAAGAGGATGGCCAAAGAACACACCACGTCGGGAATCGGAAACAGGCATGAAAAAAGTGAGTAGCAACTGGAAACAACTGGAAAGGATTGCCCAGGACAGAGTTAGATGGAGGAGGCTGGTAAGCAACCTATGCTTCTCCATGGTGGGGGGGGGGTGACAGGCGTAAGTAAGTAGTATTATTACATAGAAGTATCAATTCAAGTATAATTTTTTTAAAAATTTTATCAGTACTATTGATAAAATAATTACTGTTGTTACGTAAGTGATAAATAGTAAGGAAGCAGATGAATGATTACATGTATGAACTTGATAAAGTGTATTAATACATGTGCGAATATTTATGAATTTGATTGTGATAGAAAAATTAGTTATCTATTTTCTCAGAAAGGGGATTCTGTGAATATTATAGTAATATAATAGTTGAGTTCATGACTCAATTGAAACTAAACCACGATGGAAAACTTTGAAGTACTGAACTACCGTTTCGTCCCAGCATGGAACTCCTCAGCAGTTCATATCCACGATCCCGCCCCACGAGATTCGAACCCAAGACCTAATTTACTAATCTAATTATTAGAATTATAATTTCTTTATTGGACGATTAACTTTAAGATATCTTTTATTAACACCAACTTCTAAATTGATGTTTTTTCAGCTTTAATCACTAACTTCATACAGAAATTTATGTTAGACATTTACATAAAACTTAAAATTGGTGTTTTAATCTATATGGTTTAGTCAATAAAACAAAGTTATTGGGAAATACTGAATATTGAAACTTGATAAACCACTTTATCTTTTTCACATATAGTTGAAATCATGAGTCAATTTAAGCTAGACCTCCGTCAGTCAGTCAGTCAGCGACAACGTAGGACCAGGCACATATATGCATCGGTCCAAGTTGCCATACCTCGTTAGCACAACAAGATCAACACCAAATTCATAGAAGTAATT